GATGCGCTTCACAGGCAGGTTTTAGGCAGAGGTTTTGTACATTGCTACCACTTGACTGATGTTGCATCTATGCAGTTCTCTGCAAAATCTAAAACAGGTTGCAATACATTTCAAAAAACACATTAACATATTTTCCAGGGTACTGGCATAATCTTTTGCATGTCTACTCAAGAAGTAAGTCCCACTGAGTTCAGTGCAGCTTACTCCTAGGTAAATGTATTTTATTTATTTTTTATTTATTAAAACATTTCTATGCCCCCCCTTGCCGAAGCCTCGGGGCGGGTCACAACATGTATAAGGATTGCAACTATATTGTACCAACGTGCTTGATCAGAGGACTGTATTGAAGTATTTCCCCCAAATGTTTATATTTGTGTAGTATATTGATGGGGAGAGAGGATGGTTCCCACCCACCTTTATCAGGAAGAACTATAACTCAGTGATAAAGTGCATATTTTGCACACCAAACATCACACATACTAATCTGAACTTCTTGGAAGAAGGGCATGATGTAGATCAAATACAAAAGCAATCAATGGGCTGATTTTTAAGGAATTTCAGGTAGAAATTCTGGAACAGACCTTGACTCAGATACTGATGAGAGGGATTGAAGACCCTCTGGTACTAATGTCACCAGAGGAGACACTGTTACATTAAATTTACATTCCACCTTTCCACTAAACTACAGTGTGATGTGATTAACATCAGAGTACAGATAAATGAACAACGTTGTATTTAAAACATGAAAACTCATCAAATGCCTCAATCAGAACAAAATATCACTGAACAAAGTAAACCCTAATTCAGCAACAAATCAGCTTTGGCATTTGTCTGGAAAAAATGGTGTTGCCTTCCTGTAGAAGGACAACAGAAGCATAACCAGCTTGGTCTTCCCTTAGCTGGAGGTTCCAGAGCCAGGAATAAGCCTTGGTCTCACCACATGTGTCTTTGATACTGGTGTGTCCATCCCAAGGTGCTTCCAAATAGACTGATCTCAAATATATAGAGCTTTTAAAGGCATGACCAGTACTTTGAATTGCCTCTGGAAGTGGACCAGTAGTCGGGTAAGCTGTTGAAACAAGAGAGTCACAGGTGCCTTATAACCAGCCTGGCTGATGATGTGGCTACAGCACCCTGAGCCAGCTTTCTGAACACTTTTCAAAGGCAGATCCACATTCAGCACACATTTATTATCTAAACAAGATGTAACTAAAATATGTGTCTCCATGACCAGATCTGCCATCTCTAGACTTGGGCGCATTTGGTACACCAGCCTTACATGTACAAACTCCTCTGTGCCACCACTGATGGTATCCAGCTATAGGGTTGAGCCCAGACTATGATCTAGAGTCTTCAAGAGGAGCAGAAATCCATTCAAACCGGGTTAAACCCCGACTTCTGTATTTGCCTTTTGAAAAAGAAAAAGAAGCTCAAGAACCAGGACAGCACCAATTTCAGCCCCTTACCCTGTGGATTTAGCTAGAAGGGAGAGATAAAATTGGGTGACATTAGCACATTGGTGAAATAGAAACCCAAAACTCTAGATGACTTCCTCCAACAATTTCATGTATATTTAAATAGCATGGAGGACAAGACTGAACACCAAGGGATATCATAGGTTAGTGCCAATGGCCTCGACCAGAAGTTCACATAACTACCATTGAACTTGCTCTTGAAAGAAGAGGTGGAGTTGCTGTAAAATAATGCTTCTAAGTACCATCTCAGCCAGGTGGATACAATGGTTGATGACTCTGAACACAAGTGGGTGGCCAGAAGAAGCAACAGGGCACCCTTCCTTTGTCCAGTTCCTAATATAGATCATCTACCGGGGAGATCAAAGCAGTCTTTGTCCTATAACTGGGCCTGAAGCCAGACTGAAATGGATCTAGATAATCTGCCTCATCCAGAAACACTTTGAGCAGAAACACTTTGCCCAAGAATGGAATATTTTGTGGAACACACACACACTACTGGTAAAATGTGATTCCCACCAGAAGGACCACTGTAATTTGAATGCTGTATTGGGCAATTGCTACGACATGACTGATGAACAGCTGCAACCTCCCTCCACCAAATCCCAAATGCTCATACAATCTCTGAAGACCATTTTCAAGGCAATTCAAAATAACCTGCTTCCTTAAAATTTGCTCTGCTTTTACATTTAGGTGCAAGTCTTTTCATGTAGTACATAACAATAAATAAAGCAAGAGTGTCTCATTATTCAAGGTAATTTTTCTGATCTCTTTTGTGGTCCCTGTCTACGTAATACAGGATTTAGTTATTTGAAGTCTCTGCTATCCACTGGCTCTGGAATGCTTAGCTCTTGCTGTACTTTTCCCAGTGCTGCTGTAAAAAAGCAACAAACAGGCAGCCCTGCTGGGTTCCATCCATCATCAGACCGGATGACGTATTGTATCCAGCGTTATACTGGATGAATAAAGGGCTAAGGTGAAATTTGGGAGAATATTTGGACAATGTACCTGAAGAATTACTTCGGTAGTTTCTATTTGGCCACACAGGCAAAACTGCAACACCGAATACAACCAGTCCAGTCTCCCAGCTTAGACAAAGAAAACAAGGGTTTGCTTAGATGGCACCCTTCATGTTTTTCATTCTGGAGCAACATACAGGTGGTGCTGCATGCAATATTTCTGTGCGGGAAACATTGTGATTTTGTGGCTACCTAGAATATCTGTATTTGTCATTCTGCTAACTTTGCTGATAGCACCATGAATGTCTTACGCTTATTAGTCTTCCTGTACCTTGAATGACTTCATACTAGGGAAAAGTTAAGCAACTGAAGCATCTTTTGTCACAGTGATGTATTAATGTGGGGTTACCTTCCCAATTATTTCCCGCCTATTTAGATGTTTAAAAGCATAGGGACATTCTTCAGGAGAAGCTATTGACAGACTTGTCAAACCATCATTTTGGGAAGCATGGAAGATTGCTCCCTTCCAATATTAAACCCACCTAGCTGAATTATTTTTAATACCAGGACACTGTTATCTCATCTTTTAAAATATGAAAGATATCTTTAAATGCATTTACAAAATTAACAAATGCTACTGAGCAGTTACTTTTATTCTAAAAGAGGGTATCTGCTGTGTTGTGTTTCATTGCAGGCCAGATTTCCAGAGTGAATTCTTTGAAGCAACTGCAAAGGACATCAGCTCCTGCAACTTTCTCTCTGCAGCTTATCAGTGCAGTCTTTCCTACCCAGACTGATGGCATCCTTGGCCAGAGATAGTCAAACAAAGCTGCAGAAGCATCCATGTAAACAGCTTCCTTTGAATGCTAGTTTGGGAAGCAGAATTTAGAGCAAAACAGAACTTTTCTTTTGTCACACAAGCAGAGATACTTCCTAACTCAACTGTTTATATAAGGAAATGGGATATACTCCACACAAGCCAAAAAAAAAAAAAAAAAGCCACATTGCCTTGAGCTACAAGAAGGATGAAGTTGTTTGAACTCTTCAGTTACACAAAATGCTTTATGTGGTCATCAGCCTGTGTTGAATTTTATGACCATAACATGGGTAAAGGAGCAATCCTGAGTCTGCAAACAATTTTTTTTAAAAGTGTGTTTCCTAGAGCAGAGGTACTACTGGATGTTTGCTAAGAAAAATTGCATTGATGACTTATTTTAAAAGATGATTTCCTTCCAAGTTAGTATTTGCTTTCTAGGTATGTGCACACATACATTATTGCTATGATGAGGCAAAAGTTCTGATTCCCTCAAAATACCCTTTCTGGATTTTGAGAAGGATTTTAATATATACTATCAGGAAACACAGTGTTTATCTGCTTCATTCCCTTAGATGTCACAGCTTTTCTCTATAGTGCCCAGAGCTTCCTGCATTTTGCTTTTTCATTGAAGAGGCGGGGAATGCACACATGCATTTGAGACAGCTGAAATACAAATCCTTTGCTGCTAATGCTCTCCGATCCTCCCTAGGAGCATTTCCCCGACGATGAAGAGTCCCATGGGCTTCTTGCAGCACGCTTCAGTTCCTGTCTGCTGCATTAGTACCATGCCAGTCTTAGTGCACCCCATTCTGCAGCATCACCTCTTAATTGGCTTCCTCCTCTTCAGCTATGCCAGTGCTTCTTGATGCACATTTTTGGCTCCTGTGCCAACTTCTCTCTCTTCCGAGAAACCCATCTGGGAGCATGATGAGTGAGCAAAATCCAGACTGACATCAATATATCCAAATCTGCTCCAACAGAATTCAGTAATCATCAAGATTCAGTTTAAGAGCAAATCCTATAGGTTCCTAGAGTATGAAACATATTTCCATCAATTTTCCCGTCTCCAAGTTACTAGATCAGGCCACAGCGCTGAATCTGTACTAGCTTATCTCAGAGATAAAGAAAGTTGACATAGCCCAGTGCTTTGCTGATTAATATTAAGAAGGAAGGATATGTGTTAGGAGAGGAGTGGGATAGAGGTAATCAAAAGAGCAAATCAGTATTCTGATGCTTAAAAAAACCTGGAAGTTTCAGCACTGTACAATTGCACTTTTCTGCACAAATAGAGTTGTTCAAAAGGAAAGCTAGAAAAACTGCAAATGCATGAATAAAAAGGTGGGACAGGAATGAACAAATGCAGTTATTTAAGTTTTTAGAAGGATAGGAATACAATTCCTATAGAAGTATATGTGCTGCTTTCCCTCCCAGAACTTCCTGTGCCCTGAAGAGTCCCTCTGTATCCTGTGCCCAAACTTGTTATGCTGGAAAAGGGGGGGGGGGATCCAACTTTTAACAGACTGTGATCAATAAAGTAATCAGAACATTGAGTCCTCCCTACCTCAAGAATAGAGATTCGAATTCTGTTTTTCCAGTGTAAGAAAGTACCTTGGAAGTCATTTAGTGCAACTGATTTTTAAGTAAATATGTAAAAGCCTACACATATCTCAACTCTCAAATGGCTTTATGCAATACCTCCATAGAACATTAAAAGAGAAAATGAGAATCACAGAATACCAGTTGCAAGATCAGCATTGTGCAAATATATCGGTTTTATTTCTTTTGTGGAAATAATTACAGACATTCAGGTAGAAACATATTAAATTAATGCAGTCACAAGTTTAAATGCAAAAATAAATACAAATCCAGCAGCTGATTGCATCCATAAAACATCTCAATTTGTTTTCTTAACATTAGAAAAAGATGTGCAATTTTAATTCCACCACCTATATTTTTTAAAGGGAAAAAACAGGCAAGGTAGAAACATACATAGAAGCATTTTCTTAGAAAAAGAAATCGATCTTTATGTCACTTGCAAACCGCTTTCTTAATCTAGCACATTCACACTCAATATCTGTCCGTCTCTTTTTAAAAAAAAAAAGGAAAGAAGGAAGGAAGAAAAGCAAAAGGGAAAGGAATCTCCGTCCTTCCAAGTCTCTGTCAACTAGGTTCGGGATATAGCATACAAAATAAAGAGGGAGCGTCCGTGGCCGTTTCTTGCAAAGGGAAGAGCCAACCGCTGTCGCTGTCTGCAGCCGGGTCTCCCCAGAAACCGTCCCTTTCCGCCCTAAAAAGGATCCTCCTCGCAGCTCCTCTCGGGGGTTACCTGCCGACTTCAGTATGAAGCACAGCGCCGGGGCAGCGCGGGCGGGGCGAGCGACAGTCCCGGGCCCCGCGGCGCGAGGCCGCCAGGCGCGCCCGCCTCAGAGGGCCGAGTCGGAGTCGCTGGAGTCCAGGCTGTTCCGCAGCCGGCTGCAGCTGCTCAGCTTCTCTCTCTGCAGGCTGAGGTTCTGCGTGCTGCGGCGGAGGCACTCGAGGGACTGCAGGAAGGACTTCTTGGCTTTCTCCTCCTCCATCGGGGAGACCCCTTCCTCTTCCACCTCTTGGATCTCGTCGAAAGTCACCGGCTGCGTCTTGAACCGGGACTGGCGCGGTCTGCGCAGCTTGCCCTTGGGTAGCTTGGCCGGCCGGATGGGCTGGGGGAACTCCTCGGTAATGCACACATAGTGCGGCATGACCGCCTGGTAGCTCGAGCAGATGCCCATCACCTCGGCGGGCTTGGCGGCTGCCATCATGCTTGCCCGAGGTACAGCCGGACAACAGAAGCGCCCTGGGTCGAGAGGAGCGCGGCGCGGGCTGGGCAGCACTTGCCGGCGGTCGGCCGCTGCGCCTTCGCTGCTCGGAGTTGCCCCTCAGCGGCGCGGAGAGGAGGGACTAGAAAAGCGCGGGAAAGCCGCCGCCGCGTCTGTCGCGTCCCGCGCAGAACAACCACAACAGAAGAATAATCCCGCCTCTGCCCCGCGATCCGCTCCACAGCAGTGCCTGAAGCCGTTCGCGTCTCCCCCTGCTCAGCCGCAGCTCCAGACTGGCTCGCTCTTTTGCTTGCTCGGGCTTAGGCTCTCCGCGCCGCGTCCCAGCCGTTATATACCCGCCGCCAGCCCACACAGGAGCATGCTCAGATGACAAGCAATACCATTTAAAGCCGATGAGGCCGCTTCTCTTCCGCCTGACGTCTAGTGCGCTTTGGAAAAAAACAGATATGTATTAAAGTAACGGCGACAGCCCCCGCGATCATAAGTCGCAGCGACGAGAGGAAGGAACATCCGGATGGCGAGGAGGAGGAGGGACACGCTAGTGCACTCCCCGCAACCCCCCTCCACGCCCGGGGGGTTTCCAAGCGAAGACACGAAAAAAATGACCCGAGAGACGCCCGCAGGGAGAACCACGAGCGTCAAATGCTATGCAGAGGCCAGCCGGGCATTCGCCATAGCCGCACACGCCAATTCACCGGCGCTCGCGCCATAAGCAGAGGGAGGCAGGACAGACGTGACGCGGGAGATGCGTGAAGGGATCTCCCGAGCTGTTTAAATCCTTCCAAGCAGTCCCAGGGAGACCCCATTTCTGACCCTGGTGGCTGCGCTGGGGAGCGCATGGTAACTTGGGGGCGGGGGCGACTCCGTTCCCCGCCACCTGCGGCCCCTGCTTGTTTCGCCCGCAACTGGGATGAGCCCCGCGGCGTGGTGGGTGGCGCACGGTCGCGGAAGCACGCGGCAGGCAGACAGACGCCCCCGGAAAGATGAACTCAGACAGACGCCCCCGATTCACAAGTCCCCGGGAAGCCGGGCTGAAACAGGGTTAGTCAGCCCGATCGTGTGCACCGGAGATGAAAGCGGGGTGGCCCGTGTGGCCTCAGAAGCCTCTTCCCACGCGCCGCTCTTTGATCCTCCGGGAGCAGGAGGGATTTCCCAATCGCGCATCCTCGCTATGGGGCCAGCACGGTGGAATGAGCTGAAAGGTCAAGACAGGGGCTAGATCTTGGAAGTGATGCCAGAGACAGGCGCATCTCCAGCGAGGGACAGTGTGGTTTGGGGAAATTTGCGCGCGCGCGGCCGCGGCGGGTGAGGGGGGGGGGGTACATTTTACAGACCAACGGCTTTCTTGCAATAGTCCGAACCAGGAAAGAAACTGGGAACGAATAAGTCGTGCTTCTGTTTTATTGACAGTGAGTTCCGTTGCACGGAAAATTTCTGGAGATACTTCTTAGTGAAGTTTGATACGTTGATGACTAATCCATTAAAACCTTTCCAGCTGACTAAAATGCAAAATAATGGACCCTGATTAATGAGTTAATGTGCCCCCCTCGCCCCCATAAGATACAAGTGTCTATAAAAACCTGCAGCATAGAAGAAAACCTTCTTTTGCACACAGGAAGGAGTGCCTGCTCTGCCTTGTACATGAACCATTGCAAAGAATGCTTCCTTTTTCCCCCAGAGTATCCTTTTGGTAATATGCAAATATTTGCAACTTCACAGTGCAATCTTAAGAATGTTAATCAGAGGTAAGTTCCACTGAGTTCAGAATGACTTACCTCGAGGTAAATAGTTATAGGAGTGAAGCCTTAATTGCTAGTTCAACTCACTAAAATTAATGAAGCAACTAAGAATTATTTAATTTGGTGTCAGACCTCATTCTTCCATTTTTGCACTGGATAACATTCAGGATTCTGCCTGAAGGGAGGAAGGACAGACAGCTTATCCTCTAGTTTTGGAAGGCATTTTAATTAACACTTAAGTGATTGAAATTGACTAATCAACCAGTGGACTAGGTAAACCTGAAATCTGCCCAGGACTGAAGATTCAACACTTTCCTTCAGCCAGATTTTTCATTCCATAAACAAAATACAAATGTGTCAACTATACATTCTGCTCAGTTTGAGTACCACGTGGAATAATTGTCACCCATCTGTATAGCTCAGGAGCCCTTTGGTGAAGTTGCATGCATGCATCTGTATTCAGTATGAGGGGGAATAAAGATGCTCAGATAATTTCAGATCTGCCATGTAGTACATCAGACTAGCTTTTACTCCTGCCACTCAAATGCATTTTAATCCTCCCCCATATCTTTAATTATTCATTTATATCTCAATGTTTCTTCAAGGAGCCCAGAGTGGCATGGATGATTCTACTCTCCATTTTATCTTCACCAAGCACTATGAGGTAAGTTAGGCTGGAAGTCTGTGCAGAAGCCACTAGTGAGTTTCACAACAGAGTGGAAGTAGAATCAAATCTCTTGAATCCTTCTCTGGCACTCTAACCACCACACCACATTAGCTTTCAAATATCAACTCAAATGTCAGACCAATATTGATCAGAATCCAGAATCCATGCATGCACAACTTGCACGGAGAACCTGGCATTTCCTTACTCCAGATAGCAGACTGAGACTCCTCAGCTTAACATCTTGGCCAATTACTCCCAGTCAGGTGGACTGTATAAGGCAACGTTCTGTGTTCTTGTAATGCATATCCATTTAAAAGGTAGTGTGCTTCTATCCCACATTCACCAAGAGTGAAAAAAGCTCAAAGGTATTTTAAGTGTCATGTGGAAAAAATGCTTTCGAACCTATGGAGGTTCCCGCTCAGGATCATCGTCTGGCCTGACATCTTGCTGCTGTGTATTCCTTTGCTAAATGAGGAAGCGGAGAGTCTCTGGCAAATGTGCAATGTGAATGTGCAAATGAAAAAAGCTGAACACTTATTTTAATGATTGAATATCACACCCATTTTAAAGTATTTCTTGGCCACCTTTCAGGGCAGAATCCATACCATAATACCATATACAGAAACTGTAGGCAACCTTGGTGATGCATTAAGGGCCCTGTCCTCTGGCAGGCTGCAAGCTCTGAAGCATATGGGGGCACCCAATGGAGGGCAGAAGGAGAACTGAACCTAAGATTTCCTCCACATCCCCTTTCCCTCCAAATCATTTAGGTGGCCGATTTTATGGAAAATAAAGATTAATCAGCTCCAGAAGAAACAGGAAAGGGCAGAAACTTTGCAGCAGGAATCATTTCCCTGTAACTCTTTCTCACACAGTCTCTGTGTTTATCTTTGACTGAAGCTACTGCATTGTTCAGCTTACATTCTGGTCCATTGTGAATTCATGTTTTAGCCTCTGGGATCAGTAGGATGAAAAAGAAAGAACGATGTTAACTTGGCAGTTGTGACCTCCATGGATGCCTATGTTGCTCCCAGTGACGTACTAGCAAGTGGAAGCTTGCCTGGCATGTAGAGAGTGAAGTGACTTAATACAGTGATGAAAACCTTTACAGTCAGAAGAGAGTGCAAGAACTGCTGCAGCACCTTACATTTTCTAGCCCTTATTTGATCAATATATTTAACAGAAATTTTTATGCTTAAATTACACACTGCCCAGAGAGCAGTTTATCAATATAATAAATAATCACTTGTTCCTTCCCTCATCTGTATGTGCCCGTCCAAAGTTTACTATCCAGGTGAGGCAGTGGCTGTGCTGAACTGGTGCTTGGCCGAGGTAAGGGAATGGATGAGGGCAAATAAACTGAAACTCAACCCAGACAAGACGGAGGTCCTGTTGGTTGGCAGATCGGGCTTCGGAGAGGGTGGATTGGACCTGGTCCTGAATGGTGCAACACTCCCTCTTAGGGATAAGGTCCGCAGCTTAGGAGTACTCCTCGACCCAGAGCTTTCTTTGGAAGCTCAGGTGACAGCGGTGGCGAGGAACGCCTTCCTTCAGCTTCGGCTGATTAATCAGCTGCGCCCCTACCTGGAGTACGACTGCCTGGCGACGGTGACACACGCGCTGGTGACTTCCCGCCTAGACTTCTGTAACGCGCTTTACATGGGGCTTCCCCTGAAGACGGGCCGAACACTTCAATTGGTGCAAAATAGAGCTGCCAGGTTGCTGACGGGGACGGGGCGTTATGCTCACATGACTCCAGTCCTCCGTCAGCTTCACTGGCTTCCCATTGAAGCCCGGGCCCAATTCAAGGTGTTGATTATGACCTATAAAGCCCTAAACGGCTTGGGTCCTGGCTACCTGAACGAGCGCTTACGTCCGTATATGCCCGACCGCCCTTTGAGATCTGCGGGAGAGTCCCTTCTCCGGGAACCCTCCATGAAAGAAATTAGGAGAGTAAGTACTCGGAGGAGGGCTTTCTCTACGGTGGCACCCAACCTATGGAATTCACTCCCCAAAGAGGTCCGCCTGGCACCGTCGTTACTGGTTTTTCGGCGCCAGGTAAAGACCTTTTTATTTAAACATCATTTTATTGTTAAAACATATGATCTGGCCAGGGCAACTTCTTCTTCCTTCTCTTTCTCCTCCTATATTTTTATTTACTTAATTTATACTGATAATTTTAATCTTATATTTGTAAATCAATGTATTTTTTGTATTTTGTAATTAATGGTAATTTATTATGTGCTATTGTATTTCATTGTATTTTATCGTGTTGTAAGCCGCCCCGAGGTTTCAGCAAGGGGCGGCATAGAAATGTTAATAATAATAATAATAATAATAATAATAAAAATAGAGGGAGGGTCCCAAAAAAAGATACCATACAAAACAATACTGGATAATGCAATTATAAGTCACAAGCCTCAGACTTTCCTTGAAGGCTGCAGCCTCATCACTCTAGAACGGAGATCTGTTCAGCAGCATGTAGTTAACAGCCAAGCATCAAAGTGCCCGCGCCACTGTGCTGCCCTTGCTCAGTCACGCTACTTCAGGCACCTGCAGGAAGCATTTCTAGCAAATGCACACAGTGGAGGAGTCGAGTGAATGCTGCTGGTGTCAGTAATCACTTGCTCAGATTAAGTATTGAATGAATTACTACCTCTGTTTTGAGCCCAAAGTCAATTACAAGAGTCCCCAAGATCGAGTAAACTAGCATAGAAAGCAATAATTTTCATCCTCTTTAATCAAAGGCTTCAGGAATTTCTGCCTACATTGTCACTATGAAAGCACACATAATTTTGAAGGCTAAATAAAGGTTTGCTTAGATGCCTAGACAGGGAGTAAGCAACAAATGAGCAGGGTTTCAGATTCAGGAAGTGGTGACATCCAGTGGTCTCAATGAAACTTCAGTCCTCAT